ATCTGCTGCCAGAGCCGAGACATCCTATGGAGCACAGAAGGATGAACTTCTGTTTTGGCAGGCCGAGGATAGGTACCGGAATTATATATAGCCGTTGGCTTCATTACGCTGGAATAGAGATTGTATCTTGTCGTACAATGTTCTGTACATCCAGAGCCAGCCAGGAATGTGGCCGGGTGGCTTTTGCAAGGTAATGATTTATGCAACGCAAGCAGCAGAGCAACGTGAAGAGGCTTCATGGCTGACATAGAGACAGCGTGGATCATAGTTGCGTCATGCAAGGAAACAATGGAATTGGGGAGCGGTCAAAATTTGCAGATTACATTTCAGGATTAAGTGTAAGATTACCTTGGCACCTCAAAAAAAATAGACATATTCTTAAAGTAGAACTAAAAAAAAATAAAAGCAAGATCAAAAAGAATTCCCCATTAAAAAGATTCATCTTCAATCCAGAAATTTTACCCACAGTAATCTTTTTCTTTTTTTTTCCCCCCACCATTAGATGCCTTGAGTTTGACAAGCCAGTATCATGCAGCCCACTTCCCCTGGACCCACACCAGCTTGAGACTGGGCAATAAAGGGAAGCACTACAGTGCTGAGCTCAACTCTCTGTGTTCTCCTCCTATCAGCATGCTTCTTATCAGCACATGAACTGATTGGCTCCTTGTGCTGTTTCTTCCTCTCACATTTCATCCCTGCTGTACACAGACTGCAAGAGGCTGATACTAGGTCAAATACAAAGACTTACGACGGTACTCTTCTGTCAGACCCTCTGCAAATGAATGCCCAATTTGAGCAGTATTACCCCCAACTGTACGTTTCTAAAGTCTTTAGGCTTTGAGTGCCTATTTAGCTAATCTTGATTTTCTGATATTGTCTGTGTCGGCCAGGCAGCAATTGGAGATTCCTCTTACTCTGAAGGAGGTTCAGGTGGCGATTGCCTCCCTGCAGGCCAGTAAGACTTCAGGGCCTGATGGCCTTCCCACGAAGTTCTATAAAGCGCATGTTGATATTATAGCCCCTTACTATTTTCAGATCCTTCGGGCAGCTCTGGATACCTTTTGTCTTCCACTCTCTATGTCAGAGGCCATTGTTTTGGTGCCCGAGCCATGGAAGGACCCTGAACTTTGTGCCTCCTATAGGGTAGTATTGCTCCTTAATGTGGATGCCAAAATTCTGACTAAGATGTTGGCCAACCACTTGAACGTCATTCTGTCATTAGGTCATGGCGACCAAACTGGGTTCATGCCTGGCATGGGCACACACATCGATATGGGATGCCTGTATAGAAAGATTTCTTACTACTCGTAATGCGATCAATCTATCTTCGCATTACCTGTGCCGATCCAGGGGTGGAAGCCTACTACATACCTGGCAAGCTGGCATCCCCATAACAGAAGATGATTGGAATGAAGGGATTCAACATTATGTGCCCTCAGTTTTTTCGGCCAGAGACAGATTCATTCAGCTAAAATTCCTTTGTAGGGCTTACTATGCTCCTCAACGTCTTTCCCGGATTTATCTTACACAATCTGCACTTTGTCCCAAGTGCAATCATGCAGATGGGACGTTTTTTTCATGTAGTCTGAGAATGTCCCCCTATCCAGAGTTTTTGGCAAGAAGTGGTAAGGGATGTTAACACAGTAGGTGATCTGGCTGGCTGTGGGGCTGGATCCTAAGAACCTTCTATTAGACATTTGCGACTCTGTGGCTATTTGTACATTATAACAAAAAGACAGCACACACCCACCACACCCCAAACCAAAACCAATCAAGTCACTAAGCAATCCTTCCCCTGAAGTACATAGAACTAAACATAAAAAAATATAGTAGACTTGATTTAAATAAATAAACACATCAATAATATCAATACAACCCAATGTCCAAATAAAGTCCAGATAAAGTCCAAAAAACACACTTGCAGGTGATTTCAAAATAATTCAGATCCTAGGGCAAATTTGATGATGAACTCCAAAAAATCTTCATATACCTCAAAGAAAAAAGATCTAAACATAGTGTATTATCCTAGGTCTTTATAATAGTGCCACATGTGTCACATGCAGAAACTAAAGTGCCACAGCAATCATGAGATGTTCAAACTCCAACAATATAATAAATAAACCCTCTGCACACAATATAGTAAAAGTGCATAATTACCCTAAGGTAGATAAAACCAGCATAGGATCCATAGTAAGGATGGGATTGCCTCCAAACAATATATCACTGATCTTCTCCATACACCTCCCATAGACCTCATAAACAAACCAGGGGTCAGTGTTTGTATTTGTACATTATGCCAGTTTTTTTGTGCTGGGAAGGCTATTCTTAAGAACTGAAAACTATCTGTACCCCTCACCAGTGCTCACTGATTGACTCTGGACTACCCCTGTACAAACTAACGTATATGGGACGCAAGTGCCCCAGAAAAGTTTGGCAAAATTTTGGATGCTTGGGTGGAAGCCAGAGCCTTGAATATCAGAAAGTCTCCTCTCAGATGCTGTTATGAATATTTAGCCGTGGTAGCTGATATGTTGTATCCCATAACTACACTGATATCTCCTGGTACTGTAGAACTGGGTATTTTCCCCTGAATATTTCCCCTGTTGGGGATCTTCTCCCTCTTGTTCTTACAACTTAGGTGTTATTCAGTGGTGTATTTAGGTTTTGTGCTACCCTAGGAAACACAAAAATCGTCTTCCCCCACAGATACCGACCAACACCCCCCCCCCCTTCCCCTCCACAAAGAGAGTCTGACATTGACCAACAACACCTACCTACCCTCCACCTGTGAGAGCCTTCCATTATTCCCCCCCCCCCCCCCCCCCCCCCCCCCAGCGATAGAAAGAAAGACACCCATCTTCACAGCTCCGGACGTCCCCGGTAATGAGAGTCAGGCTCTACGTACACCATCGAGAGAGCAACTCTCAGCTTCTCTCGGATCCCAATTGGTTCCCATGGCGTGAGTGTCCCTTCTTCCATCCCTTGTTCTGGGGGGAGGTGCTGCCCCCCTGAAAAATGCCGCCCTAGGCAAGTGCCTTGTTTGCCTTGTGGTAAATACACCCCTGGTGATATTCCTCCCAGTCTCTTTCCCCTCCACTCTCCACTCCTTTCTTCTCCTTCCCTTCCCTTCTTTCTTTCCCTACTGTACCTCAGTACTCCCTCATAGGGGACCAAAGGAATCCTGTGTTCTCCTGATCCCCTATTCAGTAGAAGCTCACCTTACTTATCACCTCCTTAACCCTTGAAGTGGTATCTTGGGAATGGTTCTTAAAGATTTTTATGTTTTTTTAATTTTCTGAACAGTCGTTAATGTCATAGTCTGATTTTCTGCATTGTGGATTGTGTACTGGATGTACACAATCCACAATGCTTGAATTTCTTCTTTTTTTGACTATGCTTGTCAGTGTTATGTGCTGCACTGTTTACAGTACTTTGTGCTACATTTTTTTTATTGATAAATAAAACTTTTCTGGTAAATTAAAAAAAATAAAAATACATAGACTTACACTGCTTGCAATCAAAAAATAAAAACTGAGGGATAAATAAAAGTGATTCTAAAGGCTTTTTTTTTTTTTTTTTTTTAAATTTCAAACATGTCTATACTTACCCACCGTGTGCAGTGGTTTTGCACAGAGCAGCTCGGATCCTCCTCTTCTTGGGTCCCCTGCTGACACTCCTGGTCCCTCCCTCCTGTCGGGTGCCCCCACAGCAAGCAGCTTGCTATGGGGGCTTCTGCTGCTCCGTGTATCCATTCACACACGGAGCCGCGGCTCAGTCCTGCCTCTCTGTTCTCATTGGCTCACTGGCTGTGATTGACAGCAATGGGAGCCAATGGCTTTGCTTCTGTTTCAGCCAATGAGGAGAGGGAGTACTAGGATAGCCGAGACTCCAGTGCACATCGCTGGATCGAGAGGGGGGCTTAGGTGAGTATTAGGGGGGCTGCTGCACAGAGAATGTTTTTTACCTTTATGCATAGAATGCATGAAGGTAAAAAAAACCTTGAGCCTCTGCACTAAGATACAAGTCAGATTTTGAGCATCCCCTGCAACAAAAATTTTATTTTTGATGAGATACTGTCAAAAAATCACATCTAAAGGGATGCAGACCTTGCCACTTTCCTCATTAGAGCCCTGCAGGTGCAGCAGCTGGCTGATAATTATAAAATTACTCTCAGATTCACTTTGCACATGGACACAGACACACAAACAGCTGTTTCTTCAGAATACCAAAAGGTAGGAATCTGCAACAAAGTTTGTTAAAATCCCTGCAATGTACATAGCTCACCCAGAGGGGAATTTGTTTTCTCAACAAAGGTTACTCTTTAAGTTCAAGGAGATGCGTGATAGCTTTCACTATATTTCTAGGAGCCCAATGCTAAGGCTTCAGGTCTAATCATCTGCAACATTAGAATTCTTAAAGCTCCTATGCCTGCTCCTTCCTTCCCCCTGCCCATTCACAGGAGCCTATGGATTTGAACTCATTCACACAATACAAAGGCTTCTCTGAATGGCCAGCATTGGGGAGAGGCGGGGTGGACATAGCTGCTCTGTATGCCTCTCCCTCCTCTCTCACAGCCCATAGTGTATGCCCCAACAGAGCCATAAACCTGACAGATATAAATAATAGAGATTAGTCCAGGAGATGCCATGCATCTCCTTTATTTAACCCATAGTGTGTCTGCACTTTTTTCAAAGTGGATGAATACCTGGAATTTGGATTTCCTGAATAAATAAAGTGACAGAGTCTCTTTAAAGTGGATCGTCAAAAAAAAAACCAAAAGGTTCACTTCCCTGCCAGAGCTTCTGAAAACATTTGCTGCTTACTATAAAATAAAGTATTTTATGCCATCACTATCGCAGTGATTTATTTTGTCATGTAGAATTGTGCTCAGTACATATCAATACGAAGTACTTAGCTTTAAGTGGGTGATCAAGGACAAAGCAGACCAAAAATGCACTGCACTCCTTCTAACCCCTTCTTATCGCTTTTCCCTTCTGCAGTCGCTGGCCTCAAGTGTGGAGACAGATATAGGATCCGTCTGTGAAACTGACAGAGCGCCAAGGCACAAAAAGAAGGAGTGAGTATCAGGATGTGTTCTCTATCGCTCCCCGTGTGTGGGATTTGTCTGGTATTGATGTATTTCTAACTGCATCGTTGCACTTCGTTTTAATGGGTTTGAAGAGGAAACATTTGATAAAACCAATATAAGAAGTTTATATGGGTTGTATGGTGCTTCATTACCCAGTACCCACATCCCAAACTGTCCAATGAGGAATGACACTCTAATTATTGTTATTAACCAATTAAAGGCTGTCCTATAGCAGATATACTGCTACAGGGCAGACCTCCTGTGCAAAATCACAGGATTCTGCTTTTCCACCTAGGGGGCGCATTTGGGCCACTTCAGATTTGATTATTCACAGCAGAAACTGATCTGTGGGTGCCAGGAAGTAGATGTCCGCCGGCACCCGCAGATGGTCGGGCACAGAGCCGGAATTAGGGGGGTGCTGGGATGGACTGTGCCCTCCCAGGACACCTGATGTAAGGGGGCACTCTGATGAGGACCCTGATGTAAGAGGGTACTCGGATGGGGACCCTGATGTAAGGAGGTACTCTGTTGGGGACACCTGATGTAAGGGGGCACTCTGATGTGGACACCTGATGTAAGGGGGTACTCTGTTGGGAACACCTGATGTAAGCTCTGATAGGGACCCTGATGTGAGGGGGCACAGCAATGGGGATGCTGATGTAAGGGAGCACTCTGATGGGAACATCTGATGTAAGGGGGCACTCTGATGGGGACCCTGATGTAAGAGGGCAATCTGATGGGGACCCTGATGTAAGGGGGTACTCTGTTGGGGACATCTGATGTAAGGGGGCACTCTGATGTGGACACCTGATGTAAGGGGGTACTCTGTTGGGGACACCTGATGTAAGGGGGCACTCTGATGTGGACACCTGATGTAAGGGGGTACTCTGTTGGGAACACCTGATGTAGGCTCTGATAGGGACCCTGATGTGAGGGGGCACAGCAATGGGGATGCTGATGTAAGGGGGAACTCTGATGGTGACATTCTGATGGGGACACCTAATGTAAGGGGGTAAGCTGATGCAAACTCAATGTAAAGGGGGACTCTGATGAGGACTCCTGATTTAAAGGGGGATTTGATAGGGACATCCGATATAAGGAGGACAGGTTCTGTGTTAGCCTAACACATATTTGTGTTTCCCAGGTCATGACACAGTGTGACAGACTCTCATTGACTCACACACAATGTTGGTATTACGCCCTTTGACTTTTTTTTCTGCACCCCCAAACCCGATAGGCTAAATCCGGCCCTGGTTGGGCAGAGACACAGAACAGAGTTCCACCTATGTAAACAAGGCAGAGCTCCATCCTGACGGGGGTGGGGGGTGGAAGTGATGGATCTCCTGTGCCTGCAAAGAAGGGTATAAGATCCATCACTTCCCTTAGTAAAAGCACCTAACACAGTACACAAAACACATAGCTAGACACACAGTTAACCCTTTGATTGCCTTACATGTTTAACCCCTTCCCAACCAGTGTCATTAGTAGTGTCAGTTCATATTTTTAGCAATGATCACTGTATTAGTGTCACTGGTTCCCACAAGGGTCTCAGTTAGTGCAAAAATTTGCACCACAATATTATTATTATTATACAGGATTTATAAAGCGCCAACAGTTTGCTCAGCACTTCACAATATAACGGGAGACAATACAGTTCAATACAAGAGGGATTTAAGGAGATTGTATCACAGTTCCGTTTATAATTCACTGATTAGCATTACTAGTATAAAAAAAATTTCAGTATATATCCCATAGTTTTTAGAAGCTATAACTTTTTTCGCACACCAATCAGCATACGCTTACTGGGATTTTATTTGCCCAAAATTAGCAGAATACACATTGGCCTAAATTTATGAAAAAAATCATTTTTTTAAATTTTTTTTATTGGACATGTTTTATAGCAGAAAACAAAAAAGAAAATTTTTTGTTTGTTTGTTTGTTTTTTTAAATTGTCGGTCTTTTTTTGTTTATAGTGAAACAAATAAAAAACGCAAAAGAGGCGATCAAATACCACCAAACGAAAGCTCTATTTGTGCGGAAAAAAATGACAAATTTCATTTATGTACAGCATTGCAGAAAATGGCCTGGTCAGGAAGGGGGGGGGGGGGGTGGTAAATCTCCCGGAGGTAAAGTACAGTAGTTAAGCTGGACGGTAATGGTACCAAACCAGTCCAAAATTGTAACTATTAAGATTACTATACAGGATTTATATAGTGCCAATAGTTTGCACAATGCTTTACTACATGGAGGTTACAATGCAATTCAGTACAAGAGGGTTAGAAGGGCCTTGCTCACTGCTGGAGCTTACAATCTACTCTCCAAAAAGAATTCTGTTGAAACTCAGTGTAAATTCCTATCAAGTGAGCATGTAGGGCCAATAAACAGTGGTGCACCAATAAAATAGTTCAGGTTGCGCCTTTTATACGGGTGTGCCAAATAAATCAATCACAATGCATGCCCCTGTGAAATGTGATGTGCTTCAAAAATGAGAAAATCCCTATTGAAACACGTTTTATGAAGGTTGAAAATTGTGTTCCATATAATGGAAATAATCGCATATATTTTAGGTACATGTATTAAGCGCATTGTTGTGCCAAGCAGTAGGTGGGGCAGGACTCCTTTTATAAACTATAATCACTGTAACATAATAAATAACTTATTGCATTTTACAACCGTTTTTTGCAACAGTTTTGCACATGAATTTCCTATTGGAGTTTTAGTGCCGTCTTTAGTTTATCAGACCCAAAGTGTTTGAGAAGCGTTTGCAGACTGATAATGTAAAGGTCTTTGTGCTTTTTATTCTCCCCCCAGGGATTGCTTTCTGTTGAGCAGTGTTTGCAAAGCTGTCTTCAAAGCTTTATAAATGTTAGGGAGAGCACCATGACCGCTAGCAAGACGTGTTAACAGTGCCAGCGTCTTGGAAAGTGCTTTGCAAAGTATGAATTGACAACGCCTTCTTAGACCTGGTTCACACCTATGTGTGTTGCATTTGATGCATTTTTCCAGCGCATCTGGCAGTGCATTTTGCGTTTTTGGTGTCTTTTGTGTGTCTTTTTTTCCAATAGGAAAGTGTTTGATGAAATTTTGATGCAACTTTACACTCTTTGGTACTAAAAGTCGTATTCAAAGTAGTGCAGCGACCTTTTCAAAGACTCAGCGACTTTGAAAATGTTCCGGCACTATTCTGATGCGACTTGAGTGCCAGATAGTATCAGTCAATTCCAACTCGCATCAAAGTCAGATCAAAATAGTTCAGGAACATTTTCAAATCACAGAGACGTTGAAAATGTTTATGCACTACTTTGATTCTACTTGAGTGCCAGAGAGTGTAAAGTCGCACACAATACTTTCCTATTGGGCAAAAAAAAAAATGCAAACACTTGCGTTTTTGGTGCGGTTCCATTGAAGTCTATTGCACCAAAAACACAATCTACTGCGGGAAATAAAATCCCTGACCCTTTCCAAAAACGCAGCAGCTGAAGATGCATATATGTGAACATGTCCCATAGGAAACCATTTTAACTGGACTTTAGTGCGTATTGCAAAAAAATGAATCGGGCCTCTGTTCACTTCAGTCACTGCCCTCAAAGGAGCTCATGTACAATCCTACACAATAGGACCAGTTTCGGAGGAAACTAGTAAACCGGTCAGAATGTTTTTGGATTGTTGGAGGGAAGTAGAGCATCCAAAGGAAAGTCTACAACCATGGCCATGAATACTAGCGCTAGTATATGAATACATTCCGCTGATCCCGTGCTGGGAGCAGTGTCTGCACCATTTCTATACCTGGGAAAATGTATTTTGACATTATACACAGTATACTATTATAGTTATTATACAGGATTTATATAGCACCACAGTGTTTTATAGTATAAAGGAAGACCATACAGTTACAATAAAATTCAACACAAGAGGGTTAGGAGGGTCCTGCTCATGAGAGCTTACAATCTAAAAGACAGAGGCAAATGATACAAAAGAGAACTGTGTAGTAGGATGATTTGATAGAGAATGTAAAATTTAAGTTGTTAGAGGAAGATGGGGTTGGCTTCCCTGAAGAAACAAGTAGAAGATAGCCAGGCAGATTGAGGTAGAGGGTTCCAGAGGATGGGAGAGACTCTGGAGAAGTCCTGGCGGAAAGCATAAGAGAAAGTGATGAGGTGGCTAAATAGCCAGAGGTTATGGGTTGAGAGAAGAGGTCTTAGGAAGACTGGGTGATATTTTGAGTTTTTAGGAGTTGATTAAAGCTGGACAGAGTGAGAGATAGCTAAATAGATTTGGGCTAGGGTGTTTCAGACGGTAGGAGAGACTCCGGAGAAGTCCTGGAGTCAAGCATGTGATGAGGTGATAAGGGGGCTAGAGAGTAGGAGGACTTGGGAGGAGAGAAGAGGATGGTTAAGGTGATAGTTTGAATTTTCAGGGATTGCCTAAAGGTGAACAGAGTGGGAGATAGCCAGACAAATTGAGGTAAGGGGTTCCAGAGGATGCGAGAGACTCTGGAGGGGAGCATGAGAGGAGTTGATGAGCTGGCTAGATAGCAGGAGGTCCTGAAATGAGAGAAGAGGTCTTGAGAGGACAGTCGAGTATAGTTAGGGTGTTTATTTCAAGTTTTCAAGGATTGAGTAAAGCTGGAAAGAGTAGAAGATAGCTGGACAGATTTGGGGTTGGGTGTTTCTGAGGTTGGGAGAGACTCTGAAGAAGTCCTGGAGATGAGCATGGGAAAAGGTGACAAAGGGGCTAGAGAGCCAGAGGACTTGGGAGGAGAGAAGAGGTCTCGGGAGGACAGAAGAAGACGGTTATAGTGATAGTTTTGGATTGCCTAAAGGTGGATAGAGTGGGAGATAGCCGAACAGATTAGGGTAAGGAGCTCTAGAGGATCTGAGGGACTCTGGAGAAGTCTTGTAGGGGAGCATGAGAGGAGTTGATGAGGGGGATAGAGAGTAGGATTTCTTGGGAAGAACAACGTGGACAGTTAGGGGGATATTTTGAGATGAGTTTGGTGATGTAGCCCAGGGCAGAGTTGAGGATTGCTTTGTTTATTGTTGTTAGTAATTTGAATTTTACTCATTGGGTGAGTGGAAGCCAGTGGAGGGATTGGCAGAGAGTGGTGGACATTCAACAGTTGGTAAGGTGAATTCATTCAGCAGCACAGTTCATGATAAACGCCCTCCTGGTGGTATCATTGGTTAGGAAGGGACGTGTTTTGGAAATGTTACAGAGGTGAAGGTGGCACCTTCATAACTATACCGTATATGTATATAAATGTACATATAGTTACACCCACGCACACATATATGAAACGTTTATATGTTATATGACTTCGTTTTTTTTCGTTTTTTTCAATCGCAGACAGAAGCACAAAAGAAGCCATTTGTCTCTGTTCCGACTGTGGCCATCTCATTCATCTCATATTACACGGTAATACCTTGTATAATTTCTATGTGTATTTTGTACATTGTGTCTCATGCTTTCAGTGAGCTTCTATTCTTCTATGAGATTTCTATTGTGAACCTTATCTGGAAGTGAATTGAAATGTGCGTTCAGTGTTTTGATGTACTGTATGTAGTCCTCCATATTTTCATTATTATAATTCATACCCAGATTACTGGGCACTTCCTCTAATGGCTGCCTGTATGTCATGCAATGCAGTCAGGATACATGGCTGTCTAATGTCTATCTCTACATTGGAGGGGCAGAAAAGGATCGCCATTGTGCAGGACTACTAAGGAGGAAAAAGTGCCTACCCATGTAATTGAGCAAATATGACTGTTCACAGTCTATTTATTGTTTATATTGTATTTAAAAAACAATATTGGGGATCTAACCAACTGCCATATTATCTGCGTTTAACAATGAAAGCATAACAACAACTCTAGGCTCCCTCCAACTGCACAAGACCACAATATGGCCATGTGGTTGCTGATGAAGGGCCTGTGTTCAGGTGGACCCACTGATTGGTTAGCTTGAATGCACTCATTGACAGTACATATCTCACTACCACAGCTAGGTAGAAGCTCAGAAGCTGGAGTCAGTTTGTAACTACTGCTAGGTTAGTAATGCAGAGCTGTATGGCTATTGTCGGGGCCCAAAAATGCCTACAATGGGCACATGAGCATCAAAACTGGACCACGGAGAAATGGAAGAAGGTGACCTGGAGAATCACGTTTTCTTTTACATCATGCGGATGGCTGGGTGAGTGTGCATCACTTACCTAGGGAAGACGAGGCACCAGGATGTACTATGGGAAGAATACAGGCGTGGGGAGGCAGTGTGATGCTTTGTCTAGTGGAGTCCATCCCATTGATGGGTCAAGGCTATTTTGGTGGCAAAAGAGAAAAACCTGCGTAATCCTAGGTGGGTGGTGGTCATAATGTCATAGCTGATTGGTGCATGTTTCATAAGTCTACGCAAAGATCAGAAGATGTATCCCACAAATGATAAATCTGTAAGTATGAACATCATGGAGGGACGTGGGGAAAGTTTTTAATGCATTAACCCTCTGGCTGCCAAGTGTGTATGTCGTACAAACCTGCCAGCGGGGAGGTGTTATGCACAATCTGGTGACTGCAGCCACCGGGATTGTGTGTGTAAAACTGACAGGCAGGCTCCTGCCTGTCAGGTGGAAGCAGTCGGGCGGCTGCTCTGCCACCTGATTGCTTCCACACACCCCGGTAATGGTGCCCTCCTGCAGACACACAGCCACACTCCTCCCCTTTTTTGCTGTGACCCAGAAAGCGACATGCATGACGTCACTTCGGGGTCACCGCTGTCACTTTTCTAGCCAGTGAGAGATGTACTGCAATGTGATCTGCATTGCAATACATTCAGTGGAAGCCAGAGGAGACAATCGGGGTCTTTTAGACCCCGCATGTCTCATTAAAGAGAACCGGTCACCTAAAAATCATCACATAGGGGACGATGTGTCCGTTATGTGGTTAAAAAAAAAAAGTTTAAAAAAAATATATATTTTTGCAAAAAAATTAAGTTACACCTAAGCACATAACATCCCCCACCCAAAAAAAATGTTGAGGCCCCACCCCCACATATACGCATGTACGATCCTAAAAGCATGCATCAGGGGCGCCTACTTGTAAAAACGTTGATTGCGATACACGTTACATATCGCTGAGTGAGAGCAATAATTCTAGCACAAGACCGCCTCCATAACTGATGAACTATAGGAGCTTTTGAAGCGTCGCCTATAGAAAATATAGAATATATATGAAGTTTGTCACCATTTCACAGGCACACGCAAATTTAACATTTGACATGTTGGGTATTTATTTACTCAGTGCAACCTCATCTTTTATATTTGACCAAAATTTGGGTCATTTATTGCTTTTGTTTGCCTTAAAATTCACTTTAGGTTGTATTTTACAGAAATTTTGCATTTCCTAGACCTTTGCAGTATTATCGTGTGACGTAAAAAATTGGAACTACCACTATTTTATTCTCTAGGGCAGGGGTGTCAAACTGGCGTCCCTCCAGCTGTTACCAAACTACAAGTCCCATCATGCCTCTACCTTTGGGAGTCATACTTGTAACTATCAGCCTTGCAATGCCTCATGGGACTTGTAGTTTGGCAACAGCTGGAGGGCCGCCAGTTTGACATTTGTGCTCTAGGGTGTCTGCTTTCAGATAATATACCGTGTTTCCCCGAAAATAAGACACTGTCTTATATTTTTTTGGGCTCAAAAAAAACACACTAGGTCTTATTTTCAGGGTAGGTCTTATTTTTTTTAATGTACAGGTGTGGACAGGGGGTGCAGAGGTGAGCTGCAGGCAGTTGTGGATGAGGGTTACTATAGAGAGGGTCGGCTGATGACAGATGGCAGTTGTGAGCTGCAGTCAGGTGTTGCAGAGGTGAATTGACAGGTGAGTTTCAGACAGGGTGCAGAGATGAGTTGCAGACAGGGGATGCAGAAGTGAGTTTCGGGTCCTATCTTCCCACACAGTGCACCAAGCGCACTCACCACATGCATTAGGCTGCAGGATGAGATGCCCTGCCCCACCCCTAAACACACTGCACCCTCCGATATCTTTTCCTTCCCTGTCCCACGGTGAGTACAGAGGTAGGGCGGTTCTGTGGGGAGCGGATGGTGCTGTTACTTAAAAGAGGGATTGTCACTTGGAAACACAAAAGCCGCGCTTCTGTGCTTATAGGGGACAGTAGATATTGGTGTACACAGGGCCAGTGCCAGAGTTGTGGAACAGCTGATCACAACTAGGTCTTATTTTCGGTGTAGGTCTTATACTTCAGCAATTCTCAAAAATAGTACTAGGTCCTATTTTTTGGGGTAGGTCTTATTTTGGGGGAAACAGGGTATCATGCTTTGGGGGTTTTGTGTAATCTTCAGGCCTAAAATTATTTTTTTTAAACTTGTACAGAAAAATGCCAACATGACTGTAGCAGCGAAAGGGTTAAATATACACAAAATGTACACCAGACCTCTCAATTTTACAAGTATTTCAGAAATGTTATTGAAGACTCTACATTTCCTTTAAAGGGACATCACTGCATTTGCATTTTAAAGGACAATTAAGTTTCATTTATCTTTGGTGGACCGTGACACAGTCAGTGAATTGCTCTTAGATTACGCCGAGCCTCGCATCGATTTGTTCAGTGATAAAAGATGCCAATTTAGATGTGTTGGAGCAGTCTTTAATTGTCTTCCCTTATCCGCACTTCTCATTGCAGGCCCAGCGTAGAAGACGTCCAGAGCTGGGGGCAGTCCCTTGACATCCTGCTTGCTCATCCATGTGAGTAATACAATGTATAAAGTAGAATACCGCTTAGCACTGTCTGAGTGTGAATTGGGCACAGAAGATAAGCCCAGCGCCATTTCAGAATAATAAAGTAACAATCTTTTTTCTGTAAAAGTAAAAAAAGTAATTACCATCTATAGGGCCCTTGCAATACGTTAGATTTTGGTGTCGGAAGATTGGGTGTTGGTTTTCAGTATAGAGCTTCTGACGTAGAACCCAATGCTCTACCCTAAAGTGCCGCAAAAATGTATCCTTCCTCTTCCCTGAGACTTATCCTTATACCAACTTTACCTGTAACCTTAAAGTAGAACTAAAATCAAAACTTTTATTTCATTTTTGGAAAGCGTAAAGGAAGGATATAACCTTTTTATTGGTCAGCAGAGGCACATGAAAACCCTTACATATAACCAGTGAAGTGACTGGCCTCAGATGATACACAGAGATGAAGGGAATCTTCCTACATATGTTGTACCTGTTTATTTGAAGTCTTCTCTCCTCTACATCCATTCAAAGTCCAGAATGCATAATGTTTGTCTGAGCAGACAGAAAAAAAGGGGCGGAGAGCTGAAGTTACACTGCAGAGCTCAGTGAGGAACGTTCTGAAAGCACTGAGAACTGATTGGAGGTAGGAGACTCCCCCCCCCCCCCCCCCCCCCCCCCCCCCCCCCCCCCCCCCCCCCCCCCTTCACGTTGCACAAAGGAACAGAGCTGAGGCTGTCACTCACAGGCTGTTTGCTGGAGCTCCCTCCCCTGTCACCATTTTTCTCCTGGTGTCAGGAAAACTTGTCAGAAGTGATTCATGCTGATACTTGAGAAACAAAGCAGCAGACAGAAATGACACTTAAAGCAGAACTACACTGCAGCAGAGCACCAGAAACTTTATTTAATTCATTTGTAATATTCAAAGCAAACTCCCCCATCCATCCATGTCTCCATACTTGATTTTGCTGCTAAAATATTTTGAAAAAACATCCCCCCTAAGCAGCTCTGTTTGAGGCCATCTTGAGTAAGGGCAGACAATTCATGTAGCATTTACTTACTGGAATCCATCTGTCTGCCCTTAGCTCAGGCATGCAGGCAGGAGGGTGTGTTTTAGCTGAGGAAACTCCTCCTCCTCTCTCCTGAAGACTCCTGGGATGTATGACATCATTTGTCTAAGCCCCAAAAGCAGGAAGTAACTGAAGAAATGTGAGAAAAAAAGGTTTAAAACAAGTAAATATGATCTACTTTCCTATCTATTTGCTAATAACTAAGCTAGCAACACAAGGATTAAGAATAGTCAATGTTGATTGAGAGAGTGGAACTTTACTGTCTCAGTTGACATCGACTATTTTTAATCCTTGAGTTACTAGTATCAGTAAATGGATAGGGAAGTATATCATAGTAAGTTGTTTTAAACTACTTGCCCACTACCCCATAGCAGATGTACTGCTACAGGGCAGCTGCTATTGGCTCCTGAGGATGTCAATCACCGGGTCCCGGCTGGGAATCGGTGATCGTTGGTGAAGCTGAGAGGGGAGAGATCTGTGTGTAAACAACACAGATCTCTCTCCGGTCAGCATGGACATGCTGCTTTCTATCTCTCTGCACAGCAGTGGGATACAAAGCAGCAGGTCTGCTTAGTAAAACACAACACAGTACACAATAAAATCGCCCCCTAACACACAGTTAACCCTTTGATTGCCCCAGATGTTAACTCCTCTTGCCCAGTGTCATTAGTACGGTTTCAGTGCTTTTTATTAGCACTGATCGCTGTATTAGTGTCACTGGGGATGTCAGTGGCAGTTGGTCAGTTCCCACCCAGTGTCAGAATGCCCTTCGCAGTCCCGCTATAAGTCGCAGAGCGCCACCATTACTAGTATAAAAGAATAAATAAAAAAAAAATCCACTATATATACCGCCATTTGTAGACGCTACAACTTTCACATAAACCAGTTTATATACGCTTACTGGGATTTTTTTTTTTTTAGCAAAGACTTGTAGCAGAATACATTTTGGCCTAAATTTATGATGAAATTGTATTTTTTTTTTAATTTTTTTATTGGCTGATTTATAGCAAAACGTCAAAAATATTGTTTGGGTTTCTTTTTTTCAAATTTATCAGTCTTTTCTTGCTCATAGCGCAAAAAATAAAAAATGCAGAGGTGATCTAATACCACCGAAAGAAAGCTCCATTTGTGGGGAAAAAGATTACACAAATGTTATTTATGTACAGCGTTGCATGACCGCACAATTGTCAGTTAAAATAACTCAGCGCTGTATCGCAAAAAATGGCCTGGTCAACAAGAGGGGTAAATTTTTTAGAGGGCAAGTGGTTGAACTTTTTTTTTACATTTCATCAGCTACTACTTGCTTTTCATGCCTAGGCAAGTGATGTCATACATTCCAGGAGTCTTCAGGAGGGGAGAAGGGGTTTTCTCAGCTAAGCACACCCTACTGCCTGAGCTAAGGGCAGATGGATTCCAGGAAGCAAATGCTACATGAATCATGGTCCCTTACTCAAGATGGCTACTGTCAGAAATGCTAGGGGGGATTTTTCAAAGTGATTTCTCAGCAAAATAAGGCATGGATAGGTGGGTGAGTTTGTTTTGAACATTACAAATGAAATAAAGAGCGTTTTCTGTTTGTGGTGCTCAGATACAGTGAAGTTTCGCTTTAAGTAAACCCAACACCTTATTTGTATACTTACCTCTCCTGCATTGGCATATGTGTTAGTGCCACAGTCTGATATGGTAACCATGCTTCAGCTGGATTGATTTGTAAAATTAAAAAAAAATATTTGATCCTCCTCTCTTTTTCTCGACTAAATGGGCAGCACAGTGGCTAAATGGTTAGCACTTCCACCTGGCAGTACTAGAGTCGTTGGTTCGAATCCCAACCACGGCACCACCTGCCTGGAGTTTGCATGTTCTCCCTGTGCCTGTGTGGGTTTCCCCTGGGTACTCAAGTTTCCTCCCACACTCCAAAGACATGATATATATATATATATATACACACACACATACACACATATATATGTGTGTATCTATCTATCTATCTATCTATCTATCTATCTATATAGGTAGCCTGGCAGTGCTAGGGTCGCTGGTTCGAATCCCAACCATGGCACCACCTGCCTGGAGTTTGCATGTTCTCCCTGTGCCTGCTTGGGTTTCCTCTGGGTACTCAGGTTTCCTCCCACACTCCAAAGACATGCTATATATACACACACACACACACACACACATATATATATATATGTGTATCTATCTATCTATATATGTAGCCTGGCAGTACTAGGGTCGCTGGTTCGAATCCCAACCATGGCACCACCTGCCTGGAGTTTGCATTTTCTCCCTGTGCTTCCGTGTATTTCCTCCGGGTACTCCGGTTTCCTCCTACACTCCAAAGACATGCTCGTAGGTAAACTGGCTCCTGTTTATATTGGCCCTAGTATGTGTATGTATGAATGTGAGTTAGGGTCCATAGAGTGTACGCCCCTTGAGGGTTAGGGACTGATGTGAATGTACAATATATATGTAAAGTGCTGTGTAAATTTATGGCGCTATATAAGTACCTGAAATAAAATAATGTATTAGTTGGTTGTGTTTAGTGATTTTGGTAGCTCCTTCTCCCAAGGGAACACATAGGTTTGATATTTCCTGTGTGTGGACCATTCAGGCTACATATGGCAGTGATTTTGTGCATAGAAGGCTCACACGCTGCTGACCAGCCGCTGTTCTATACGTCCGGTTGTGGCAGCAGCGAGGAGGCAATACAACGCCTCATCACTCCATGTCAGATGCTCTCTGAAAAGTGATCGGAACATGGATCACTCTTCAGAGACCAAGGCAAGTGTGAACGAGCCCTAAGCCTAGCCATAAACATTAAGATTTCTCTCTCAGCTAGAGAAACCCTTTGATACCCCCATCCACACAAAACATACACGAAGGAATCTCCGCTGCTGATTATGGTATTCCAGCCAGCAGTTCTTCGGATTCAACTACTTGTGAGATTTTGAATCACTTGATTTATCGGGTTGTTCGGATGAATACAAAAAGAGTAAATGGAAGGCTGAAAACGGAAGCATAGACTGATACAAAACAACCACATGATCTATTTGTACAAAAAAAAAAAAAAACACTCGGGGAGATTTACTGAAACTGGTGCACTCTGAATCTGGTGCAGCTCTGCAAAGAAACCAATCAGCTTCCAGGTTTTATTGTCAAAGAGTAATTGAACAAGCTGAAGTTAGAATCTGATTGGCTACCGTGCACAGCTGTACAAGATTCTGAGTGCACCAGTTTCAGTAAATCTCCACCAGAGTTTTTTTTTTTTTTTTTTTTTTTTTTTTTTTTTACACTCACCCCCGGTTCACATCTATGCAACTGTGCGGGCCGCGTTTTGCACAGGCACGAGAGCCCATTCATTTGAATAGACACCATACCCGTGACATGCAGGGAAGAAGTCCCTGCACTTCTTTGGAAAACGCCGCCCGCACGGGAACCTCGGATCCCAGTACGGTTGCGTTTTGCAGTGCGGGCAGCGTGCCATTAGAACTAATGGCACCATCCCGCGGGTCCGCATTTCTCTGTGTGGGTGGTGCAGCTGCACATATTTTCGTGCAGATCCGCAGCAGCACCACCCACACAGATGTGAGCCTAGGGTCAGGGGAAGACTTATGCAGGCGATAGATGGGGAGAAAACCGGACGATTTTTCTTTAAAAAAACGAAAAATCGGTCGTTCAAGTGGCCGATGTTACCAGGAATGGTTTTTTCTTTTTCTCTACAGCGGCAAACAGTCCTGCTTCTATTTCTTCTTTTGACATTCATAGCATCAACAATGTATCTTCTTTTGGATACAGATGTTTTTATTTGGAAACAAATCCTCTTCTTCTTCTCTGCAGGGACACTTTTTGCCGGACTGGAATTCTTCTTCTTCATCATCCTCTTCTTCTTCTTTCTTCTTCTTTCTTCATTCCTCTTCATCTTCTTCTTCTTCCTCTTCTTCATCT